GGGGGGGGGGGGGGGCATTGGCGGGTGTTATTTTTTTCGTCCCACCCCAAGCAGGCGGGTCGGCCGGGGTTGCAGCGTGAGAACATGGCCAGGGGCAGGCCGTCGGCAGAGGGGCAGGGCGGGCGGATCGGCCCCCTAGTGGGGGGGGGGGACGGAAGAAGGGGGCCGGGGGGGACAGGCCGGCCGAGGCCCGGCGGTGACGCACCATTACACAGCAGGTACGAGTAGTAGGTGGAGCCATAGTGGACCAGGTGCGTGAGGGTGGTCTCCGGGTGGATGTACTCCTCGGAGGGGGGGGATTTGGCCGGGGAGTCGGGATCCGACAGGGGCGGAGGCTGGACATTGACATTGAGGTAGTGCCGCATGAGCTGGGTGTATGCCTGGGTCCGGTGTGCCACGTCCGGGGAGATGGCCTGGGTGACGGCCGCCGGCAGGAAGAGGTCCAAGTCGGCCTGGCGATAGAGCAGCTGGTCCAGCATGGCATACACAACATGCTGCAGCGAGTGGGAGGGCTGGGCCGCGTGCTCGGTCTGCCGGGCCAGGGCGAAGTCCGTCCGGGGGAGGGCCAGCGACAGGTCGCCCTCGATGTCGGCGGCCTCCTGCCGGAGGAAGGCCTCCTCGTCGAAGTCCCCGGTCAGGCTCAGGCCACGGGTGTCGCGGGCGAAGGCGCAGATGACGCGCTCGTCCGAGGCAAAGCGCTCAAACAGCAGGGACATGGTCTCGACATAGTCCATGGGAGACCGGGTCCCGGCCAGCGACTGGAGGTTGGTGTTGGAAAGCATGGTCTGGAAGGAGTGGCCAATCTCGTGGAAGATGGTCTTCAGCTGGTGGTGGGTCAGGAGGGTGGGCGCGTGGATGCCATAGGACAGGTCGTCCGGCTGGAGCCGGGGCCCGAAGTTGCAGGTCAGCAGGGAGACCGGCGTCCGCCGGGTGCCGTCCGCGAGCAGCTTGTTGCTGTGCATCGGCAATAGGACCGGCCGTGGGGGGGGGGGGGGGGGGGAGGGATCAATAGTCGGTCGCGAGGTGGCGCGGGGGAGGAGGGCGTGGTGGAAGTGACGGTGGCCGGTGGTGGTGGTGGTGGTGGTGGCGGCGGCGGCGGCGGCGGCGGCGGCGGCCGGGATACGCACGTCCGCAGCGTGAAGAGGGCCGCATTGCCGTGGTTGTTGAAGGAGGCGTTGAAGTCGCAGTAAAGCGTGCCCAGGTGCTCGAGGCCATCGACCGAGGACCCGGCCGGCGGGACGAAGTCCGGGTTCTGCGGGTTGAGGCAGTAGAAGCCAAGCTTCACCACGTCCGGCGAGTAGATCTCGCCAGGGGCGGTTTG